GTAGTCACGTTACAAATATTGTTCAAATATTTAGGCTGCCGCCCGTGCATATCACAATGTAGTGATAAAGATTTAACAACAGTGTTAATTTGCATATTGTTAGCACTGGGGAATTTGTTTGCAGAGACGGCAAGTCGATACTGCGCTCTCAAAAAAACAACCCGTATCTTATACCACGAAACCTATATTACGCTTGCGATTGTTAAAGGAACTTCCCATGAGTAGTGTTCAAAATTGAAAATTTCAAATATTTCAGCACGAGATAAAATCATATTTTGACTGGTGATGTAATTCCGAAGGAATGCGAAAAATGCTGAAATGATAGCGTTGGTGGCACATCATAACTATGGTGACATTTTCAGCTATGAATATTGGAAATTAAAATTTCTGAAAGTAGTGTCATAAGAACATGAAAACGGATTTATTCGGTAGAGCGGTCTCTCGAATTCCAACTTTGAACAACCGCATCGCATTGACAACAACGTTGCGGTAATTGCTGCAGGTCGTTTGTACCCGATTTGCACTTTCGTACTGTCTGCAAACTCGTTTACACTTCATTCCGAAATGTGAACCAACCACGCGGTCGGGTACCTTGTCGAGCCGTCGCTTAGAAATTCCTACTGATCGTGTCATGGAGATTAGAAGCTATGATTAACTTAACAAATATTTTGGAAAGTTTTGTCCCCGATGCCGTGGATAAGCGCGCGAAATTTCATACAAAAGAAGTAAAAGATTGCGCGGTAATTTAACACTGAGCATTGTGCGATAAAAGAACTTCAAAGCAATCGATATGAAATACGTCAATGATGTCACCTCTGAAACTCGCAAACGACGGTCGTTCCGTGATGACTATTCAGTAATAATAAAATTCGAAAACTTTCCGCACTATAAGAGCCGTCGGAAATTGATTATTACTTGTATTATGATCTTGGGATAAGTGCAAGTCATAATTTTATTAAACTTTTCAACCGGTTATTATGCGAAATGAAATAATTACACTGTCATATTTGTTCGTTATTCGGAAATGGTCACCAGTTATTACATAATCAGTTTAGATATTAGAAAAGGGAATGAATTGAAACAAGTATTCGGATATAAGGAACCTGGCAACCACAAAAATTATTTAATATTTGGACTTTTGAACCGTTGAAAAAAAAATGCTTTCATAGTTTAAATAGGGTCGAAATAGTGAATGCATATTTTTTGCTTTTGAATTGCTGGCAAACAATTCGGAACCCATTTCTGAGACGAAACTACCATCGTTCTATCGAGATCACCGAAATTTTTGAGGCAGTATTCCCACGACATGCAAACCCATTTCGGCGAAACCGACGAGGCTCATCTGTCTGGGTTCCTGCTAGCATGGTGGCTCAATTACTTTTTGCAAATCGTCGCCGCACCAGAACAAAACAATAATTTTCAACAAAAATGCCGATGGCACATAGCGAATGACATTTTCTAACGCGGATTTTAATAAAAGAAACTTTACTGAACAAACCACGGATTTATATAAAATATGATACCTTTATTTCAGTAGAAAGTACAGTATAAGGCGTTGGTAGGCAATTCGAAACTTGGCCGCTTTAAAATAAAAAAACACGCTCATTTTGCATATCAAGAGTTCACTTATTCCGTTTGAACTATTTGCGTCGAGGGATACCATCAGGTGTTTATTTGAAGAGTGTACGTCAAAACATCCTTACACATAGAGCAAATCCTATGAATGCAGTTATATAAAAGGCACCGGCAGTTTGCTGAAAGTTATCAATTTGCTCATTGAGGCCAAGAGGAAGCGTTTTATCCGGTTGTACCAGAGTGAACTCGGTATGACTGCATCAAGCGTGTGTGTATTGATCACCTCTTGCGCATTTGTTTTAACGCATCAAAACAAAACAAGACGGCCATTCACAAAAATAACAACTGTGTCGAGTGATATTTTGTGAAGCAATTTTTAGAAACATGACAGCAGCATACTGTACTCTATTAGATTGATTCTTTTGACAGACAGTTAATCCAATAACGTAAATTATAAACCAATTTTTCGATAAGTAGAACAAACAGGCCATCGTACAATATGTGCATAAAAGGAAGCCGCAGGACACGGTAAACCATTCTGAATAATTTATAAATTAAAACGCGTCTATGACCTTTTCCTGAACGCAGTGGTGCGGGTCAAAATAGTCATTTGAGAGCGATTTTGCAGGCGTATTAAAATGAGGGCGCGGTTAATCAATACAGCGTCATGATGAAAACAAAACAAAAAAACGTTCTACCCTCGACCATAAGCTCTTATCGTGACCTCCGTGGGCTCGTAACATATGGTAAGCGGGATTGCTGGTTTACTTTCTCTCTCGGGCATGGGCATCAAATATGAAATAGAACGTTTCTGATGTAGCAGCGCATTCAAACCCAAACAAATGAGTAAGTCTGTACCGAGCTCAACAAATTATTCGAAGTTATGTGAATGTTAAAAATGCGCAAGAAACATGTGAGGCTGATCTTTTCAACTGATTTCTCGTTGTTGTCACGCGGGAAAAGGCCAATCACGTGCTTTTCATATTCCAATACTACAGATGCTTTGTTATTCTTCGGTTTTATCTACCTTTCATAGAACAACGCACGTATAGCATTTCAAGACAATACCCCGCAGTATCAAATAGCCGTAGGACAAAGAAAAGAGATAGTTTAGAAAGCGTTAAACGAACATTTCAAGAATTTTTACTACACGAGGTCACTCGTCTTTGTCCCGGGCACACCCGTTAATTTCAGAGTATCTGCTCCGTTGCTCGGCAAAGAACAGCAACAACGGAAATCGTCGCCCAGGTATTCCCGCCTAAATAAACACATTCCACGTGACTCATGTACCCAGTACTGAAAGGGCATTATTTGCGATTCCCGGAACATGAGTATTTTAAATTCTTGATATCGGTTGAAAGATAAGTCTTCCGAAACTGTGGTACTAATTTTTTAGCGCAAACGAACGTTAATAAAAGTCACTTACAAGACGTCCAATGACAGAAAAAAACGTCATTGCCAGTCTTTTGTTCGTCATAATGATGAATATGCGTAATTACAACTTTTCTAAATAAATATTCGGATGGTGGAAATCAACAGCGATAAAATAAATTTTACATATCTAGTGATTCACGATCACGACTGTTCCAGTAACGTCTAAAGCACTACGATATGGGTACTTCATGGAATGGCGGTTGACATTCCGAGTGACTCACGCACTCGTGATTAATACCGAAGATAACAAGTCAAGAAACGGAAAATACCTCATTTCTTTCCAATGCAAAAACAACTATTCTATGGATCTGGAAAACACCATTCATTTAATATTTATGACCGTAGTCCGGAACTTGATAGTGGCTACAGCTAAGAAATATATATATAAGACGGAGATGGTACCCTAACATGAATGACTGTCCATTAGAAAACCGGAAACGATGTGTTGTGACTATGAACCGAGACTAGACATAAGGTCATTTGGTATTCAAATGTGGCATTTCAATATAAGCTTGGCTTTGCATATTAATATCTCATAACGTCATTATACTATGTAAGCAAGCAGCTGGTACGCAAATGTCGCCCTTATCGAAAACTAATATAGCATCACAAATACATGGAAACTGAAATAAAAGTATAGACACGACTTTTGGTATTAGATTAAAAAAGTAAGTACCCATTGCGGCTATCGCAACAACAAAGATGGACTCGTGTAACCTTGCCAGGCGAAAATATTCCAAATAACAATTGGAAATTTCGTAACGGAATCCAAAAATAAGAAATCACAAAGCGATATAGTAAAGAACTGAAACCATCGACACAATAGGCATAAACACCCCACACGTCGCTTACATAATTTGTCATCGCTGGAACGATGTTGTCCACAACAACGGCTGCTCTACTTCATACCGTGCATAGGTAACCCTTATCTCAGTTGAAACAATAGTCTCATATCACGCAAGAGAAATCAATCATATTATGGAATTCGATGTTACAGGCCGCACCAGTCACACAGAACCGAGTGTACACCAGCGCCCAATATGGCGTCGCTTTCCGATCGAACTCGTTCGCTAATGGTGAGGTACGTGGCGCTGAAGGGTCATGTGACGCTTAGTTGTCGTAGCAACCGTAGTAAAGTCAGCCGTCAAAACAGAACGAACTAGATCAATATTCACCAAAGTGGGCTATTCCTGGAATGGGCGTACGCTCGTTCACAAAAGGAATGTAAGGTTCGTTGTACACGGGTCGCGTAATTTCGGTTACTCGATATCGGTTGACGCCCGTCGCTATGAACGATTGCTATGGCGCCTTCCAAAGGCAGATGTTAAAGCAGAAAACGCCCCAGTTTGGGCTAATTTTAATATGCCTTGTAGGCTAAGTCATATTCAATAACCCTAAAGTTCTAAACTTGGCTGAATTACAAATTCTTACGACGAGTGATATCGATATAATGGTACATTTGTGGAAAAAGTAAATAACAGCGCCGTGACTAGCAGTATGGCATAAGAATGACGAAGCATTTTCTTCTCAATTGAGGTAGTATATATCTCCTAGCAACCTACATTTAGCGGATGTCAGTGAGTAAAGTCTACAAACGGTAAGGTCATTGAAATAAAGTTTGCGCGAAATGAAGAAGTAATAAATCGCGACAATCGATTATATTTTCGTGTAATTTTCGCGTTTCCAAATGTACATAGACAACGCACAATACACTATAGCTCCGATCAGTACAGATATTCTACATGTGTGATAAACAATCCCACTCAAATATAAAATGTAATACAGTCATCTCACAAAATGTTTAGCTTATACATCACTGACATATCGGAAATGAATCATCTACACTATTTACCCATATAACAACATATTTATTAGGTCTTATATCACTATTTTTAATGTAAAGTAAAATATACCAAACCTATAATATTGAATTCAGCATTTTCAAAAAATTGCGCTTTATAAAGTATACAAAACGAAACAAAAAATCCTACCATCAAATTCGGTGTATACTGTGTCCTTGAGGAAAGCACCAGATCCGAAATCTATCAATTTTAATGTATATGTGCTTAAATCGACGATTAAATTTTCATCTTTGATGTCTCTGTGAACTATTCCGCATTTGTGACAGTGGTCAATAGCTTGTAAAACCTGCAATAAAGCAATCAGTTCGATCAGTATGTTTCAAATAGACATCAATGCGATTTATCAAGATCAAATCTTTTAGTCTATAATCATGCTGACCTGCCAAAAAAATGTTCGTGCCAGATCTTCATCGAGATATTTTTTCTCTGATATAAAATCAAATAAATCTTGACAAGGTTCAGGCTTTTCCATGACAATAATGTAGCCATCGGGTCGTTCATACCAGTCAAGAAGCTTTATAATTTGTTTGTTGGGGACTATCCTTTCCATAAGAACGATTTCCATTGGTACTGGACGACCGTTCAACTGAAAATAAAAAATATATACATAAGATATGTAAGGTATTTATTTACAAATATTGGATACTAAATTAAATTAGTTCATTCATAAATTCAATATGTTTGATTCACATATCGAGAACTATGAAATAAGCTTTGTAATGCATACAGGATACTTGATTTCCTGTGGGAGATGCATTCATCCTCGATTCTTATTAATAACGTCAGCTGGATTTTGCATACACCAAGCCAAGTTAGGCCACTTGTGTTAGAAAATGTTTTGTTGATTAATAAACGATGCGATATTCAATATATCAGTATTAAACAAGAAATAACCAACCTGTCCCCAAACTTTGACTTTGGATTTTGCAATGTGTTTGATCGCCACCTATAAATGTAAACAAATATGAAGTTAATATCGGCAACTAATAAGCGATAACAACATATTAAGGTAATATCAAGAAAGGTACTGACAGGCATGTTGTCGCATATTCTTCTTCCGTCATGAACAACGCCAAAGCCACCATATCCGAGCTGTTTTCCGACCAGGTAACATTTTTCGAATGGTTCAACAACTGGAATATTAAATAAATAATATATTAATATCACAATCCATTCTCAGATTGGAATCGGATTCATAAATGAACGTATAGTTAGTTATACTACTTACCAGGAATGCTTTTCGTTGGTTGTTGGGTAGGCAAATGATGCGTATCTGAAGAACATATATTTCCAATGTTAATTTTCTTAGGAAACTGCAACATGTTTCCTTGACTATCCAGTTCGTGCTGTTCGATATCCAGTTTATAATTGAGTGTTGACAAGATGATATCCAAAACGTAAAACGCGGCTTGGTATTAATTAATTGATATTGTTTTGATTGGTTTCGTCGGTGCGTCGCCTTTCTCCGTTCAAGCAATCGTACACCAAGAGTGATTCGCTTCGGTTACAGGGATAAAAGTAAATTTCTACGGCTGAAAATCTAGTAGTTCCTGGTATGAGAAAATGTAATTTTATAATACCGGAAGGACATGCCCTACAATCATATCCATAACAATATTAACCAGCTAATCAAAGCAATCAATCCGCGCAAAGCCTTCCTAGTAAGCATATCAATTGTGTTTTTCACATGATTGAAAAAACCGAACTGAGAAACGCAAAGTTGCTCGATATAAGTTCGTCTGTTACGATCATAAAAAACTCTGGATTTAAACGCAAAACTACATTTTTCTGTTCACAATTTAACCAAAGACAGATCAGATTCTATTTGTATCCCATATAATAAGTCTAACTATCTGCAAGGAGCATAACAACACAAGGCAGTACCCATCACCACCAACTACACCGAGACATCGCCGACGGCGGACCAAAGGACGTCAAACTCAAAACTAGACTGACGCTTACTCAATCGATTCTGATCATCATACAAAGCGAGCGCTGCCTTTTTTGCTACTTCTCTCGGCTGTCGAATGCGTACTGTCTCTCCTATATACGGACAGATCGTGTTGGCGGGAGATACCTAATATCAAACGAAATACTCAGCAACGTTGTTAGCAGCTGTATTTTTTGTTATTTAATCTTTTATTCGCCTACAATTTGAAGGTAATTTTATTCTAGAAATCTCAAGCAATTAAATTGAATTTGATATGGACTCTGTGCATAAAAATATTGCTGAGAAATAAAGAAATGAAGAAGAAATGATTAGTAACACGATATATAGGTTTATTTAAATCGCACATACGATAAATGACAAGACAAACTTCCAGTACCAACCTTCATTTACGTAATATTTACGTCAAAGGTTTTTGAGAAAATTTAGTAATTTAATCATACTACAGTGCAAACATAATTTTTTTATTACTTTCCGAAATCGAATCGAGACATAAAATATATATAACATTATTGGGTGCTCCCGAAGTATGCGAACCAAGATGGCGGACATCGGAACGTAACATGGGTAACAGGTTAGGGTTAGGCGATAATTTTTTTTTCAATTTTCCTTATTTTAGTCCTATTATCAGTTCGAAGACTAGCCAAGAGCCTCCCGTAGTATTTATACCTAAAATTATGGCCTAACCCTAACCTAGTACACATATTACATTCCGATGTCCGCCATCTTGGTTCGCATACTTCGGGAGCCCCCATTATTGAGTTGGAAACTTTCGTAATATGTGCGAAAAAGGAGACGACGAAATATTTTACTTTGAAAAAGAGAGAATCATAATCATTTACATTCCTTGTGAATTATAGAAACATCAGTAAAGATGAAAATTTTAATATATTGCTAAGCGAATCTTAAGTGCGAGTTAGAAGGAATAAAGAAGAATTTTAGAGACAAAGACCTAGCAATATGCAACCGCGAATATTTAGAGAATAGAGAGAGCGGGATTCCTTTTATTACACCAATCTTTCAGTCAAAAACATGATCAATCAGCACAGGGCTGATCAGGGATTCATCTATGTTGCCTAAAACAGTCTTGACAGCACACTAATACGTGATTGGGCAATTGTTTTAGTTTGCGGGCCACGTCGTGGTCACAGAAGTTAGCTGAGGGCCGCACTTTTCAATGATCGCACTGTTTCTAAAATTCGTTATAAATTTAAAAACCAACCTGTATCACTCAAATAAATTAGCGTAGTTTTTTTTCAATCTAGAATGCCATCCCAATTACTTTTTATATTCTATAATTAAGGAAAATGTAATCAATTTTGCTTGTGTTTTGCTTGCAATATTGTGACCCACATACAAGAAAGCCTGAAAATTACCATCTCTATATTTATCTATATTTATTTTGTTGATCTTCATGAACGAATAAAATAAACAAAAAACATTTTTCTACGAAATTTGTTCATATATAGAAGGATTTTCCCAGCAAATAGGGTTCTATAGAAGTTAACCAATCCACCTTTAAAAAAATTGTCACGGGTTTTGCAAATGACGTTTGTAGCTAACAGTACTGTTTTTATTTCATTTCTGATCAACGTCCGTTTTGGTCATTTGAGTTTGAATATTTTCTTGTGGATTCAACGGGGCGAAAAGTGCAAATAAAAAAACCAATTTGCCCACTCCTGGACTAATAAGCCATCAAACTCTTGTATTTCTGAGAACAACTGGACTCACTGTCAATATAACCTAAGTTGCTGAAAAATATGGAACTTACGCCATCAAAGTGTGATAAACGTCATTACTTACGTAAGTTTCAATGTATGTGGATTGTTTTTAAGAAAATAACACCTTGGTGTGAATTTTTACGCTATTTTCGTGGCGCAGGATAAACAACGTTTAACGTTTTTGCTAACCAATCGAAGTCGAAATGTGATATAACCAATGTGATACAATCAACAACACTGGGAGATCAGAGGAGAACCTTTCCACACCTTTCAGTAAACATATTATTTTATTTTGGATGTTGTTTAAATAAATATAACCCATTTGTATCACGACTACATATTTTGGGAATATATTCTCACAGCCTTCGTTTGATTGTGTATGTAGATATGATTAATTAATCTCTATTGATGTTTATTCTGGGTAGAAATCACGACGACAAACGACTGGGTCGAGAATAGTTTTTGCACATTAGGAAACAATTTTATATGTTTGTTTAGCCGTGTACTCGATGGTTTTACATTTGCCTGATATTATTATTGAATTTTATTTGCATTAAATACTGAGAATATATCCCGTTATATTTCTTACAGTGTAAGTGACTAACCCAACAAAATAGTACTTCTTCTTTATTCGTGAATGAAATACGCAGATTTTCCAAAGTACTGCTTACGTGTTTCTGATCTTATATAGAGCATCTTAAATTGAAGGACTGGTTTGTTGCTCAATGAAACATCTTATGCGCGCCAACGTGTGGAATTTAAAATAAAACGACGAAGTTGAAAAGAATTATCCCAGAGATGTGCGACAATGGTACCATCAATAAGTTTCATTTTACTTTTTACAGAATCGCATACTTTTTAATAAAACTAATCAGCAATTTTTATTTGATAAACCCTATTTCAGGCCACTAAATCTGTAAGGACCGCTCAGACAAAATAGCTTTAAAAACAGTTATTTGTCTTCAAAACCTGCCGAATATCGTAAACATGCATGGAAAAAGCTCATTTCTAGTTATTTATGATAAAATAAATTATATAAAGAAACTATAATAATGTAGATAAAATAACAAAGGTAGGGAAATAATAAAGTTGCTTTCATCCATTACTCATCAATATTACAAACTGTTTTATTTTTGGTAGGCCGAAAACGATTTTTGTAAACATTGTAGGCGTTTCACTTTTGTCCGTATCTTTCTCAATATCTATAATTTTTTGCTTACTCATATTTTAAAAGAATTGCATTTTTTTTGATTTGAGAATTTTTCGGAGACCCCGATGTATGAATAATCCTTAATAAAAATCCTGAATGTACAGAAATACTTCTGTCCTATAATCGTTCGAAAATATTCCTCCGTCTTGATCTGAATCTGAATTAACATAAATAGAGTGTAAATTGTTTCTACAAGCAACATTAAACGCACGCTATGAGTATACATTACCAAAATGTGTAGTCATGATACAAACGCTCCATATTTACAAAACATCTAGAATAAAATGACATATCTATCTTGTTCTGGCAGCGGCGGAAAGGTTTTCTTCTCTGATCTCACAGATTTGGTTCAGATCGGGTTGCATCACATTCAGGTTTCTATTTCCATGACATTCAAACCATGTTTATTTTACTCTGCGAAGACAGTATAAAAATATTTATGAGTTGGACAATCCGTTCAAGATGCCGCGTTTATTGAGATTTCGTGGGTTTTCGAATACCGATCATTCACTCTAAATGGTTGCGCATATATTTTTGCTTCATTTTCATACGAAGAAATTTTGCAAAAATATCATATAATTTAGCCAATCATATATGACTGTACAGAACAAAGAATAAACCATCAATTGCGTTCAAGAGAATTGCTTCTGTTATGGTCAATAATACTTCAAGTTTTTTTTTACATCTATGTAAAACAGAGACATCGATCAAGTGAGTTTAGGTTTTATTGTGTGCCATATTATTAATTTCTCTTTTCTCTCAGGCTAAATTCAAGGATGTCAAAAATTATAGTGTTTTCAATATTTAAAAATGTTAGGTAAAATAAAAATTAAACAAATACTCGAGTGTGAAATTTTACATTATCTTCGCGGAGTTGTATGAACAACGCTTGTATTCTGCTTACGAATCGAAACTTAAATGAGATACATCCCGACGTGATACAATCAACGTTGCTGCGAGATCAGATGGGGGGGGGGGCATATTCACGCTTCCCAGTAAACATACTATTTTATTTTAGATGCTGAATAAATATAGATGTAATACAATTACATAATTTGAGGATATATACACATAGCGTTTGTTTGATAATGTATATTTATGTAAATATATTCAACTTTCTATTTATGTTTATTTTGGGTAGAAATCACAATGACAAAGGTTTTACGAACGGCCGGACCGAAAATGGTTTTCGCATATTATGCAAAATTCTAAAGATTTTGTTTTTTGTATTTTTTAAAAAATTCCCAAAATTATTAAAATATCAACATCTAACTTATTATGTGTATAGTTCCTTATATAACTTTGAGTTTTAGCTAGCTCCTAACCGGTATTTTCCATGTAAGAACTGACAACTGAGGCAAATAACTGTTTTTATTTAAATTAAAATATTTAAAAAAAAAAAAATTTCATCACCAAGTTTATGTTCCGAAGCACCGCGTATGTCGTTCCCATATATACCCTGCTAAACCATGTGCCAGTTTTTTTTAATCACAAGAAATTACTATGCATAAAACGATCACTTATTGAATCCTATGCTCACTGCTCACTGATATTGTGGGAATGCAGGTGTTACCATTTCCGATCGGGGTGCCAAATCCTAACGGCCATCTACTTTTAAATCAGCCAGATGTGATTCATTGTCACTTTCTTAGCATAATTTTTTTCAATATGAAAGGAAATCAATGGATGCAATGTGCATAATGTATTGACCACATTTTGAATAAAATAATTTAATAATAATTTCAAAAGGCGAAATGAATTTTTCAAATTTGTTGTTTTATGCTATATGTAACATGTTGGGATGCATTGAAATCAAAAATTGACTCACAATAAATTGCACTTACACTTGAAATCCTGTTCCAATTAATAATTGAAAATATAAAAATTCCTTGTAATAAAGTTAGGAATGTCCTGTTTGGTCCGTGCAAGCTAAAATTGGTTAACATCGAAATTTTGTCGGAATTCTCTTTTGTTTATTTGCTGGGAAGTGATGAGTTCTTTACCGAATTAAATGTAACCAAATTAAACTAAAGAGAAGTTTGATTCTCAATATTCGAATGCGATTTGATTGCTTTGGATGTTTCAAAAGTTCCATTCAAATTATTTTCTTCAGTATTTTATTTTGATCGCAAAGTTGAAATCGTTCTAGTGGGCCAGAGCAGCCGTTATACCCTAATAATATGACGTTCCGCAAAGAGTTTTGTAACTAAATTTTTATATTCATTAATTATCTGCAAATTGTTGTCAGGATTGCTAACAGAGTAAAATTTGATAATTTTATTTGCAGGAAAGAAACAGAATTTTTATTCAATACTGTGAACAGGACGAGGCTCTATTTCTGGACATTGACCCAAATATGTCACGTTTAATTCACGTTTTTGAAAACCGAGTCTTTACTTTTAATGACTGCATCTCTTTTTGCACCATTTGCGTTTAAAAACATTCAGAAAAAATTAATGCAATTTAGGCCATCATTTATTATAAACCATGAATTTCTGACATTGCTGGAGTCAATAACGACCTCGTTTCTCTCGATGTTTCCCGATCAATGATTTTCTCGTTTATTTCCGTAACAACGACCAGCAATAAGTCAACATTAACATAACAATAGTTATTTGTGGGATAGTTCAGAAAATTATTTTGCTCAGACATATAGCTCAGCATGGTTGTAAACATTGCCCCGTTTTCAACGTTTTGCGCGTTATTTGGCAGTTTTTAGTTGTGTTTATATAAATTAGTTGTAAATTAAATTGATTGATTGTCATTAAGTCTTCTGAGTAGCTTCAGTTTAGTTGCGATAATCACAAATTGCCCACTAAACGCTGCGATAAACTAAGCTAAAATAGCTATCAGTACCTGAAGTGGCACGTGGATATATATTTTCATTAAAAATGGTGGTTTCAAACATCTAAACCAGTTTGCAAGTGACAACCAGCAGAAACATGTTCAAAATAAGCATCAAAATTCTTGAAATTGTAAAATATAGGAAAAACGTCATTTATTTTGGGAGTGTTTGTGTGACTTTAGATACCGGTACTGTTCAATACATCCGCGTAAAACTATTGGACAAAAAAATTAATTGAATCAAAGCAAAAATGGACATTTGACCCCCAAACATTATTTCCATACTTTGACATTAATTTTGAGAGTGTTTTTGCGTGAAATTATTGGATAAACAACACGCTGAATCAGAGCCGTAAACGACCAGCGTCGGCAAGGAGTCAATCTTTTTGCCCATAACTATTCTCACAGGATTCCTATCATTCTACCCGATACCCCATACCGCCAAGCAATCATGAAATGTTGTATTTTTTGCTTCGCATTTTTTGATCAGGCTAAATCTTGCAAGCTAGTATGTAGTCAACAACTGTGGAGCTGCAATTTGTTGACATCATTATATCGCTGGATTATTGATTTAAAACCCATTTATACCGATTTTCATGGGTGAGCAATTGCAAATTTTCGACGTACAAAATTGAATTCGCTCGCGTGCCATTTTGCGGAGCGCTAGCGCCCTCGGGCGTGCACCTGCCATGGAATACAGTCTGGGATAAAATGACTGCAAAGTCACTTTGGTCTGGGGCCTTATAGTGTTCGGTGATCACGATGCATATTTGGAATCATGAATGGACTACCATTGAATTCAAATGAACTTGATATTGAAATTAATCTAATTTTTTTTTTAATGTAAGAAAAAAAAAAAGTGTTCGGTGATCTAATTCTAGTGCGACCTCTGTCTAGCATTAGAAACAAGAAAAACAGTACAGTTCTGCAGTTGTACAGTTGTCAGGACTCAGGATGTTGGAATTGACGGCCAGACGGGTCTAGTACCGGTATAGTTTAGTAGCGGTACCACATTTAGGGTCTCATGTAGTTTCTTACCTAACATACTTCTAGTGAATGGGTCTCGTGTAGTTTCGTACCTAACGTACTTCTAGTGGGCGTAGCATAACAATTTTTTGATATGTCAATCCTAACCCCCATCTGATTACGCCATCAGAAAATTAAATCTCTACTACATCACACTCGCGTCATAGAGCTTGCCAAATATACGCACGATCGACCGAAATGGCATTGGCGCCGATGATAGAGAACTGACTGACGTTATCGGTCTCTCTCCTATTGGAATCGTTGCGACGAGAAAAATAACTGTTCGATTTCGGGTGCTCGTTTGCGCGACTTGGATGGCAGTTCGTATAGTTTGAAGGGCCCTATTACATCACTGTGACGTCGTAATGCCGTAATTTTTGGATGGTGTAGTCAGGTGGGGGTTAGGATTAATACGTGAAAAAATAGTCATGCTACGCCCACTAGAAGTATGTTTGGTAACAAACTACATGAGACCTGTTATTCCTAACCCCCACCTGACTATGTCATCCAAAAATTACGTCACTACGACGTCACCATCACGTCATAAGGCTTGCCAAAGTATAATTACGATCGCCCAAAATGGCATCTGCGGGGTGGAGGCTAACTCGCCATGGACCACTCGCCATGCGACATTCTAACATTATAAACTGACTGATTACTGGATTATAGAGAACAAGCACCATTCGGCTTTCACGAAAACCCATGTCGATTAACAACTAAATTGGTATCTCTTGAAACGTAGGCTAATTGCATTGTCTGTTTGCACCAAAAATTGACCTTTGACCTATGCAAAATATGCATTGTCGTCGTCGATTTTGCTAGACTGGACTCTGCGTCGAAGCGCCGGTTGGGATGTTCTGTTTAAGTAATCGAACACTTGTTTATTGAAGTTTTTATTCAAATGGGGCTGTTCTGTCAGTTGCATGCTGAGGATCTAGAAGGTCCCGGAAGGTTAGCACTTGCTCAAATGTTTGTCATGTCGCATTCGCTGATTGCATGCCGGGATCTGTGATTGCCCGATTTATTGTGGTAAAAGACCATAAAATCAATACTGGCGTTAGATCGTATTTGGATACATTTTTAACCATAAAGAAACAAAACTGCATTGGTGGAAGTTCAAAGTTGCCATTCTTTCACTTTGAAATTTCAAACCAAGTTGAAAAATTACAATCCTTATTTTTTTATTTAGAATAGTATCACTGTACATGTACCGTTAAAGTATGTTATTCAAAAAACGGTCTTCTTGGTATTTTGCCAAATGTTCAGAGTCTAGAATTCTTGTATCTATTACAGTATTATTAGGACCAAGCAATATAGACAAACTAATTATGGGACAAAATTTATTCATTCTGGGAAAGCAAAGGGTGCGATTTGACTAGTGATTGCATATTTTATTTATTCGATTTATGTTAGGCAAGATAATATCTATAATGGGTATTCATATGAATTCAAATTCTCACTAAAAATTTCAGTCAATGATTAATTTAATTTATACTCTCTTTAATAGATTTCTTCTATGTGTGGATTTTGAAAATAATTATTTGTTGGCCTAAATACATAGATAACTTTTCAAAATGGGGAGAAGAGTAACTTCTACCACCAAGGGTGGGAAATTTATGAACCCCACTGATCAGGCCCGAAAGGAAGCGAGAAGGCGTGAGTTACGCAAAAATAAAAAGCAAAGGCTGGCAGTGAGGCAAGCTGTAATAAAAACAAAAGATCCAAGACAAATGCTTGCTGAGTTGGACACTCTCGATGAAATGGAACTTAATCCATCTGAAAATCTTCCCTATAACGACAAAGTCGTGAAAGAAAAACGAATCAAGTTGCTGGAAAATATTCAAAGAATCACACAATACTATCTTCGTGAGGATCCTGAGCAAGGAGCTGAATTAAAACTTCTTGTTGATAATTATAGAAAGGATCGTTTGAAGAAAGAAGTATATTATGAATCTGTGCGAAATGCTCAAAAAGTTACAATTGATAGTATTCCCCTTCCTGATGCTCCATTTCAAACTCCGCAACTCAGTGACATACCATTACCTGGAATCCAGCCACAAGGAATTTTGAAAAAGAATCCTACTTCTGTAGGATTTTTTTCTAAGACTGAAAGAAAAAAAGATCCACCAGGACCACCCCCGGGTCCTCCACCCCTGAAAAAAAGATTCAAAGGTAATACTCGTTTTCTTTATCCAAGGCCACCACCTGGAACTCCTTCGATGGAAAAGTCAATAGATAATGATAAAGATGCCTATGATCCAGAGGAAGGTCCAATATTGGGTGATGTTGGCAGTGACAGCGATGAAGAAGAAATTGCTGCTGATCATGAGGATGCAGAAAAATCTGATGATGAATTTTATCACCGTGACGATGATCTGGATGATTCTACTTCCGGAGGAAGAAAAAGAGTGCAGTCACGTGATGGAACATCAGACAATGAAGATGGCAGAGATGCGTCAAAACATGCAAGACTAGAAGACGCTTCTGGTATTACTCCACTTCAAGCTATGATGCTGAAATTGGCTGGTCAAAGTGTGCCAACGAAGGACTCAAATGGAAAAGTTGATGCGGCTGATAGTGATATACCTAGCAAAGATGTGAAAAATACAAGATTCTCTGAAACTCAACAAAAACCACCTCCTGGCCCTCCACCTGGTTTGCCTCCTGGACCACCCAGATTACCACCAGATGTTGCTACAGGCAGGATACAGGGAAGAATGTTACCACCTGGCCCACCACCAGGCCATCCACCAACACTGCCACCTGGCCCACCACCAGGTTTGCCACCAACAATGCCAATCCGCATGGGCATGATGCCTTCAATTCGTCAGCAAATACCAGAAAGATTTAATAGAAGTATACAAGCTGAAAATCCAATCAATAACGCTAATGTTTTGAGTGCACCTCCAAGTTTGATTCAGCATCGACAAGAGAAGGAAAAAGAAGGAATGCCTGCTATGATTGTTGCTAAACCAAAGATCATCAACAACCCCAAGGCAGATGTCACAAGATTTATGCCAACGTCTATTCGTGTAAAAAGACAAACTACAACGAAAATTGGACCAAACAGGCCTACCAATGTTTCTGCTCCATCATCTTCTGACAGAAATAGACAAGAGAAAAACAAAAAAGGAAAGTTGAATGCTGATGTTGCATATGACTCTTTTATGAAAGAAATGCAGGGTTTCCTTTAGATTATTCGCCTATTTTTAACTGCATGGTATTTATTCTCTTTCCATCTGATAGCTACCTGCACTCCAGTGTGATTGGCTGATCGAGTGATCACAAATCAATTTTTCTGCATGTGTGGTCTTCTCAATTTTTATATGTTTTAATATGTATCATATTTAGGGTCACTGTTTAATAAACCGATATGTCAAAATTAGTTAGTTCCTTGCATTAATTTGTGGTGCTGGAGGCCACTGAAAAACATGGTCAGTCCCGCAGTTGGCCATTCCTGCTGTCGTTAAACTTTGTTTCGGTTGAAAGTTCCTCCTCGTTTTTGATGATTGAAATTTTGAAATCTTATGTTCTTTGTGCACGAGGATAAATGAGGAATGAATCTTCAAATACACATAAAACAGTCACAATTAGCGTAACACAGAATTCCCCTTTTTCTTTTTCATCAGGATGACAGGCAGTTATGCCCTGGTTTTCTGTAAACAAAATATTTATGCAGTACAATAAGCTCTAAGCATTACAAATGCTCTAAACTTGTACGGTGCACACATGAATATGTTTCTGATTCGCCAGCATTGGTAGAAGGTGTTATATCACTGAGGTGATTCTGGTTTATTTGCAAAGCAGCCGCGATAGATGAGAAGTTCATAACAGTTCAATTGTTCGGACGCTCAAAAGAATTTTCTGGGTCATCTCCTCTGTGCTGGTTTGGTAGGAAAGCATTTTTGCGCCGCAGGGGAAGTGAACCCACCGGCGATAACTCGCTATGATTGGATTACGTGTGCGAGTTCCTGTCTGTCATGCTAAACTATTTATGCCTGGTAAAGGGTTTCAGTAGTGGTAAACTCGGCCTTCTTTCTGGTTTTATCATGGTACGGTTCCATTACATTTGAACCCATGACAATTGCACCTATGGATTTTTTTTTGTTTCACGGATAGTTAAGCCCATACTAACCCTAACCCATGGGTTTTAGCACCCGCATATAGATTGAACCCGTGGATATACGCATGGGTTCAAATGTACGGTCACCTCATGGTACATGTATGTATATTTATTCGATTCGTAAATGCAATAGAAAAGAGTACATTACAAAACGCATATTGATGTATCATGATTTCAGCACGAAATACAATTGATGGCTTATATCTCTGGCTCATCGTGATAAAAGCATTAGAAATATGCTCGCCACCGCACCGCTGATTACTCTGCGTAGGTTCGCATCCCATGCGGGGATAGTTATGTGCGAGAGGATCGCTGGACTCCTTGGCGCCCTAGGGTGGTTCACGTAACCGGTGGTCGGTCACGGCTTCCTCCACCATAAAGTCTAGGTAGGCCGCGAGCCGAGGCCATTTATCTTTCAGTTTCGTAGCGCACATAAGGTAACTACCTGAAAATGATTTTAAAATGTTCCTTAGAAATTTAGTGACAATTATTGCCTTGTTCCCACTTCCAAAAGTTGCACGTTTTACAGAAAAGACGCTTTTACTACAATAAATATGTGTTACTATCTGTCCTATTTTCTCTGCTTTTCCGGTATCATGGGCCAATGAACGCAGACTTCTGCATGACGTAACAATCAAATTAGTCAGCTGTAGGTGGATCCCCCGTGGTCGGATGAATATCAGATGTACTACTGCTCGCTTTTGCGTTGAGTTGGGTAGCTCTTCCATAGTTTTTTTTCAGTTATTATTAGTTCAGTTATTCTAAGGAGGTGTTGAAAAGTATAAGTAAGATATTAAACACTTGTATATCCTTACCATAAATAGCATTTTTAGTTGAACACTAGCTCATAAGACGTTGTTAAATAGGTACGGTGCAGTAACTCCAAGGAAGGCTAGACCTAGAATAATATGTCACAAACAACGATATTTTCTGGCTTGCATGAAATGTTTATGATTAATTTAATGACTCTTCTTGACTATTCAGCAGACTTATACTACTATATAGGCCACAGCATATTTGGAAATAGAAATTAGTGGCTGTTTCTGTAATGCACGGTTGAGTGGAGGAGAAGATAACAAACAATTTTACTAATGTCGTTGGTCTAAATCTGAATTCATTAGGTCGACAAGAACCTGGGAAGCAATGATAAGTTATGCCGTGGAAAGAAAGTAGCATTGGAAGCGATTGAAAGGTGAGAAATCAAGTTGTAGACAAACAGTTGATGTTTTAAAATATAGTCTATAGTCCAAACTCATAGGGCATTTCAGACTGTGATATATCAAAATTTAGTGTACATATAGTCTAGTACTGGTATGCAAACACTGCTGGACTGTAGTACATGCAATGAGCATATATACATTCATTGAGTACATCAGATAAAATGCATTATGTATTCAAGGTATTAGTTAGTATTTAGTGGTATTTTTACACTCATGATGTTCAAAATATGATTTTCTTCCTCATTTTAGATACTGTACTACAAAATAAAACGGCAATGTTCCACCAATCCGACCTAACGCAGGCTCTAATCCCTGCTGCTATAAGTGCTATAAAATGGATTAAACAAGAAGTCCTGAAGCGTAAAGGTATATGAGAATCATAATAGTTGCAAACAGCTTACAGGGGTTTTCATATTGAAATACTTTTAGCACTTTTCTGCAATTGGAACTGCCCATCAAACTCATGTTGGAGACTTCATTGGGGTTTTCAATTCATTTTTTTTCTCAACTATGAAGATCTTTTGAGGTTAACGAGGCATTAATATATAAAGCTGAGGAATTTGTTTGTTCACTGTATGAAGAGGATATGAAGAATGTAAATGATACCAGGACACGTCTATTTAACACTGGCAAACATACGGATTATACTTCCCCACCCAACAATGATTCACTGAAGAAGCATGTGGCCCTCAAATCAGTTCTTGAGTTGGCAAACTGCAAGTGTGAGAAAATTAGTCAAAATAATTTATGCAAGTGTGTCAAAATCAACTTAAATTGCACAGATTTTTGTTTTTGTATTGACTGCAAAAATCACAGTACACATATAGAGGAAAAGTCGATTTTCGAGATAGTGGATTTCGAAAACAATTCAGAAGAAAGTGAATTAGATATTGCAGTTGATTTAATAAGTATCATTTATTTGTTTGTTTTTTCGGACATTTGTTAGTGTCGTGGTCCTGTTTCTAGCAATAATATTGCCCTTGTTCAAATACATAACCACATAAACTAAAAAAAGACTAATTGTAATATTTCTGTTCACTATGTTATGTACGTACTGTACATTCATTTAATTTTCTTGACTTCTCCGGTAAATTTCTAAGTGAGAAATAACTGATTTATTTGTGTTTTCGTGCTCGCGATGTTAAATTGTGACTTCATTGCTTGAAAATAAATACGTTTGATAGCTTCTATAAAATGAATGTAGATTTTTATGCTGTTCTTGTTGTAAACTGCTTGTGGTTATTACATAAAATTCATTCGACCTTTCGAGGTCACCCGCGACTCCTGTCACGCAATTAAAGTATTTTTGTTGTTGGTTACATGTATGACATATTTTTCGTAATCTACCTAATAAATTATGATTGACTGAGGAAGTTTGATTTTGGTCAGGCAAAACGTTACAAGAATACATTTGTGTTAGTGTGGTGTAGGGCTCTCGAATTGCATAGTTCTTATGTATGTGTTGTAAACTTATGGTTATTGAATTTCCGGGAACCTCCTATATTCAATTTCGCATCAGGATTGTGGAACAAGCTGTAATGCGTTCAGTATGTTCATTTTCACACAAAACTGAAGAATTTATTTAGTTACCAGATCTGCGCTACGAAACTCATTTTCTGGGCGTTTGCAAGGCTTCGTCTTACGGCCCATATCCGTGGTAAGGATCTACAAGTGTTTAATAACTTACTTATACTTTTTAACAACGTCTTAGCATAACTTAACTAATTAATAATAACTAAACAGGGCTATGGGAAGGCTGCCCAACTCAACGCAAGATCGAGCAGTAATAACTAAGATTCATCCGCTCGCTAACAGCTGATTCGATTCAATTGTTACGTCATGCAGAAGTCATTGTTCATTGCCGGAAAGGTAGAGAATATAGGACAGATCGTAGTACATATTTCTTGTAGTAAAAGCGTCTTTTCCGTAAAACGTGCAACTTTTGGAAGTGGGAACAAGGCAATATTTGTTACTACATTTTTAAGGAACATTTTAAAATCATTTTTAGGTAGTTACCTGATGTGCGCTACGAAACTCACTTTCTAGGCGTTTTTCAGGGCCTCGGCTCGCGGCCTAGTCCATGCTTCCGAAAACAAATACCTAACTAATACCAGACATGGAATGGTAACCGGACGAGAGACCGTGGTTCGCCATATGGTTAAGCCGTCTTATCGGGTTCCCTCTCCCGGGATAAAGATGTAAATTCTATCCTTTATAGATACCGCACAGTGATATACCAGCTTGACAATATTGATGAATTTGAATTGTGGAAAATGCCGCTAAGTGACACTATATTCCCGACTATGGCTGTTACCGTAAATAGATACCAATACATTTTCAGGACATGGCATCAAATATATGGGTCACTAAAGCTAGCTACAGGTAGTTTACAAAACCAAATGAGTGAATTTATTCAAAAAAAGAGCAATCCACATGCAATCCATTTCTCAAGTGCTAAATCGCAGAATTGCAAAATAAGCATGGATCATAAATGTTCAATGGCAAGTTGTTCTACATTCCCTCATTGTTTGTAGGTACATATTAGGGGTCAGCAAACCGCGGCCATCGAACGTCCCAAGTATAAATTCATGATACAAAAATTGATCATAAATTTATCGTTGTCTCCACATGGATTTGCGCTGTAACAATTGCAGTTGTACGGCGCTTTTTTGCAGTTTTCAGTTGTATGTCTTTATTTGATGTTGGTTGTAATTTTAAAATAAATTTATTGTGATTTTCAAAATATAAAAATGTCCGGGAACGAAAGGAAGTTCGCGTTGAAGGTCGAATATTCCGAAGTGCTTGGACGGAATAATTTTTCCTTCTTGCGCATTTCAAAACCGGTTTGCTTGATATGCCAAGTCATGCTAATGTTAAACGTCATTACAGAACGTGTCACTGCAAATACGAAATTTGACTCCGAGACCCCTCACTGCTCTGTGCGACAGTGCAAAGCGTGTAATGTGCACGTCTCATATTGCTTTGAGCAGCATTAAATGTAGGTCTATTACACTCACAATAAATTTCGTACTCGCTTGTCAGA